CAAACACTTGGCCTCCTGCTGACCCTCTCTGGCAGCTTCCACCTCACTCAGCCCTCCTCTTCCAAGCTGTAGCCAGAGTAATTGGTGCCTGGGTATCGGCTCAGCCCCATCCCTTTTTGTATTTGTAATATATATTAATATGATTTCCTAAAACAGAAGATTCAGTTGCTTTCTTTTTTATTGAAAACTATCCAGCCTCACTATTTCCCTCTAATTCCTATCCACACTAAGTGGAAGAAAAATAATAGTTTCTATTTAACTGATGAATGTGGCTTTTTCCCTTTATTTTAATGTTCAGAAAATTATGGCTATTTCATAGATTTGTCTGATTTCTTCCACAGTCACTGTTGTTCTATATGCAATCTTTCGGTAGATTTTTCTCTTCCTCTCCTTTCATGTCCATGTAAGATTTACTGAAGAATCAGAATATCAGGTCAAAGCAAAAAAGCTAAAGTGACCTTAAAAGGCAGTGTCTTCTCTGTATGGGGAATAGGGAGGTATTTGGATTTCTCAGTGACTGTCAGATGCTTTACAGTTGGGAAGATAGACTGAGTCCACGTCTCCTTAGAGCTCATTAACATTTGGTACAACTAAGGGAAAATAAGTGACAGTTCTACCAAATTTCAGAGGTCTATATATAAGGTGGCCCCACATTGCCTGCTAACTTGACTTCTTCTGACCGTTCTGTCTTGTTGGTTTGGAGACTGCTCGGCTTATGTCAGTATTCACTGTGGCTTGAGATGACATTTCCATCCCTTCCTAGACTGCCTTTCTTTGCCATCATGTGCCAAGCTTGAAACAGGATTTGATTTCCTGAGTGACCTGTCTGCTTTCGATGTGCCACCAAGGAATCTAGTTCATCTTTCATCTCATTCGTGTTCTTTTGAAACAGGATACTTTGGGGGTCAAGTCTTTTCAGGTGTTTATATATATATATATATATATATATATAAATGATTTTGTGTTCCCTTCCCATGTAAGTAACAATTCACAATCATAATGTAAAGAAATAAAAGCCCAGTGTATTGTACTTCACCCTGATGTACAGAATCTCCTTGTAAAATAAATAATTGCATTGTATATCAGTCTTCCTATCAATATTAATTATTAAAGTATTTTAGAATTTAAAAAAAAAACAAACTATACTATCCTGGTGTGAAGTGTTTATTTTTTTATGTTCCACCTTATTCCAAAAGATTCAAGCCAGCTTAAAAATGATACCTAAAATATTGCTAGACACCCTAAATAAGAAACAGATGGGGTTGGGGGGGAGATAATAGTAAGAACTTTAAATGTAGCCAGAGATGAGGGTCAGTCACATTTGTGTCTGTCTGTACACACATGGAAAAAGAATAGGCTGCAGAGAGGAAAGCAACTGTGATCTCCATACTATGCATCGGGTTCGGCACTAGCCCCTTTCTGCTATTCACCTACCCCTATTCTGGGAGGTAAATGGAAATATACTCATTTTACCAGTGAAGAACCTGAGAGGTGAAGTTGCTTCCCCAAGATCAAAGCAAATTATGTAGTCACTCTTTGCATGTATTCGGGGACAAGCAGTTGCATCCCAATCAGTTGTGTCTACAAGGATTTTGTGTGAATGGACCACATATAATTGGGCCTCAGTCTGATGTCGCAATAGAGCAGTTCATACCTCATGTACTTCCCTCTGGTGAGCAGCCCAGTTTCAATCCAGGTGGCCTCACCAATGACTCACTTTCTACTTGTCGCTTCAGAGACTCGCCTTGATTAGCATACCACCCTTTACCAAAGATTAAAAGAAACCATGAGTCAGAATTGTTCATGTCATTGGGTTCCACCTGCTCCCAGATTTTCCTTCTGCTAGTCTTCCAAAGAGGCCTCAAATTGTCATTGCCCTTTTGAGATTGAGCATTGTCTCCAGGAGGATGTTTTGAGGGTGCACATTGCCAAGTGTTTGCTGAAACAATGAATTTAGAGTGCTTGTGGGTTTAGATTACTGTACCCCAGGAGAGGAAAGACTAGTTGGAGAGTGAGAAGTTTGGAAAACCATTATCAGAAAGGGCAAGTCCAGTGGATACTGAATGGGAGGGGATGGGATGGGAAGTATACTTAAAAATACGAGAATCTGTAACAAGGAAAAGCCAAGCCCTAAAACCAAAACATAGCCTAAACCACTGTTTCAGTTCCAGCGTTAGGAAGCATGAGAGGAAAAGCAGGAACCACCAGCAACCTGGACCACTTGCTCCCTCTGTCTCTTCTGTGGATACCATTAATTTCTTCCCCCAAGAATGTCTGCCTCCTTCACAAAGCATAAAAGTCATCTGACGGGAAAAACACCCTCAATTTCCCTCCTTCTGGTACTGAGGAGGCACTATTCAGTCACTCATTTATTTGTTTAATGTTTATCTCCTTCCTACTCTCCTCCAAAAAGAAATCTTCCCTTGACCCTATTTTCTCCTATACCTATTGCCCTATCTCCTGTCTGTCCTGCACTCCCTTCACATAATCTAATACTTAAACAACTTAAATTCCTGTACAGTCCAAGCAGTTGAGCTAAATGAGTGACAGGTAGAGGAAAAGGAAGCGATGGAAATGTAAACTGAACAGGCTTCTTGACGTGGGTTTACGACCTCTGGTCTGTACACAGTTTTCCATTTCTAAAGCCAAGTTCACTCAAGTCACTAAAATCTGAACTAAATCCACAATAAGATGGTGTGCCCTGAGGTTACTAGTGCCTTCTCAGTTAACTGCTACATCCAAAGCCTGTCGTCACCTCTTACCGTATTTGACTGCTCTGCAGCATTTGATGCTTTGGGCCATGTCCTCAAAACTTCCTTGGCTTTTCAGACACCACTGTCTCCTGGTTCTCTGATCATGCTTTCTTTGTCTGCTGGCTTCTTCCCTGATCACCATTTAAATTTTGGGTTTTCATGTCCTCTCATCACTCTCTCTGTTCTCCCAAGGTGACTTCAGCCACCACTCTTATCTGACAACTTCTAAATCTTTATCTACAACTCACATTTCTTGCTGGAGTCCAATCCTAAATCCAGTTGCCCTTTGGACACATACACATCCAAATGTTCCCGAGGTAATTTATATGAACTTCCAGTGTGGCCCTTACTCTCTACTCCCACAGCCTACTTTCTCAGTTATCAGAGTTAGAGACCACGTATGTTCAGGCTCCCAAGCCTGAAATTTTGGTGTTATCTGCAAGCTCCTCTCTTAATTTGTAGGTCCAGTGGAGTATAAATTCCGTGCATTCTCTACCTCAGAAATGTCTCTCGATTCCTTTATCTCCTCTCACTTTGTCTACCATCCCAGTTCAAAGTCAACATAATTTAATGGCATTTTATAAGCCCTGGTCTCTCCAGTCTATCCTCCAATATTGCCACTAGAATTACCTTTCTAAAATGCAAACATAATCACAGCAATCCTTTATTTAAAAACTTATTGGCGCCTAGTTACCTGCAAGATAAAATTTAAACTCGGCCTGTACTACAAGATAGTTTGTAATTCAGCTCCTTCCTACTTTCCAGTCTCATAAGTCCAGGCAGTTCTCCCTTTAATATTCCTCATTAAATTGACTTCCTACCCTTCCTGGGAGACTATAGGACTGCTAGTTCCTCAGTCTGGAATGCTATCCTCATCCCCACCCCACTCCTTTCCTATTCCTTCAAGTTTTAGCTCAAATTTTAACTCCCCAGGAAAACCTTCTGAGCCTTTAGCAGATTGTTTAATTGCTCTGTCCTCTGTGTTCTCAAAATACTTTATCCATGCCATACAGCACTCATCATGCAGTAGTATAATTTGCTGACGTGTCTATTTCCCCCCACTGTGAGCTCTCAAGGACAGAAAAAGTCTTTCATCTCAGAATCCCCAGTATCTAGCACAATGCCTAGCAAGTAAGTCATATCCCCTAAGTAAATGTTGAATGAGTGATTGAAAGGTACCTGAATATTGGTAATATCGCCAGAGAAGCAGCAGAATTACTTGTCTTCCGCTAAACTACTGGTTCGCAAACATTTTGGTTTTGTGACCTTTTTACAATTTTTAAAATTACTCAGAATCCCAAAGGACTTTTGTATCTGTGGGTGATATCTGGTGATATTTATTGTACTAAAAACAGAAATTTAAAAACTATTTATAATACATTGCAAATAACCAATTAGTACACGTTAACATTAATAACACAGCTTTATGAAGAATAACTATTTTCCAAAAATAATTAGACGAGTGGTATTTTTTACATTTTTTTGTAAATCTCTTTAATGTCTGGTTTAATACAGAAGACAGTTCAATTCTCATATCTGCTTCTGCATTTAGTCTTACTATATGCTGTTTTGGTTTAAGTAAATGAAGCAAGTCCAGTGTCACACAGGTATAAAGTTGGTAAAGATGTGAGCCATTCTTTGAAGTAAAATGATGTTCCATGAAAAAATTTGCTTGTTTCAGCTCCAACTATGGCCGTAAGTACTTTTTCTGGAGACAACCACTGTACTTTTGTATGCAGCAAAAGTGTTTTATGTGTACTTCACACTTTGTCACACAGAATGTTAAAAAGATGAATACTCAAAAGTTTGGAATTAATAAAATTAATGATTTGGGGGGCTGGCCCTGTGGCATAGTGGTTAAGTTCAGGGCACCCCACTTCGGCACTTAGGGTTCACAGGTTTGGATCCTGGACACAGACCTACACCCCTCATCAGCCATGCTGAGGCAGGGACCCACATACAAAATAGAGGAAGGCTGGCACAGATGTTAGCTTGGGCAGAAAAAAAGAAAAAAGGTAATGATTTTTGCTTCTTCATCAAGGACATTCTTAGGTGAAACTGACTTTTTTTGAACTGTAAATTTGTGATGATGAAGAACACAATGATTGCCAGTACAGTTTGGTGACAGGGCCTTGAAATATACTAAGGCACCAGCAGTTTTACCCACAATTTCATTTTACAAGATCATTACAGAGTCAACACAGTGAAAAAGGCAAAGTCTAAGTCTAATACATATTATTATGAAAAAGTTTTGACCTCATGGACCCCCAAAAGAGCCTCAGGGATCCCGGGATATGCCAACTACACTTTGACAACCATTGCTCTGGGCCTGTTTCACATCTTAGAATCTGGATAATAATTCCAACGTCTTAGGATTGCCCTGATAGTAAATAATTTTATTATTTTTTTTTTTGTTAAAAAACTTTTTATTTAGAAACGCTGAAATGTTTTATATACCAATTTGAATAGCTAGGTTCTACAAGAAACAACTTGAAAATTCCCTTTCCAATGTCCTCCAAGAGCTGGATTCCATTTTATGCGCTTTGATCTTTCTTTCTTCAGTCCTGAAAAAAGTTATACAAATGATTTTTAAAACAAGTGATTTATTCTTCCCTTTCCTATGTTTAGAAATCCTTATGATCCCTCAGACAGTTCCTTCTGGAACAAGCTTTCCTCTTTTCCCCCAGCCAGCCCCAGTGGGTTTAGCTTTACAGGCTCTGGAACTAGGACAGGAGGTAAGACGTGTGAATGTTTCTTCACTGGGAAGTAAATAATTTTATGTAAAGCGCCCAGCACAAAATCTTATAAAACACCATAAATGTTTCTACTCATTATAGCCCAGCTGTGATGGCTGTATGTCAATTTACCATTTATTCACCTAACACCATATTCGAAATTCTATCACATTTGCAACACTTCACATGTAATATGTATCTTCAGGATTCTTTACTTGCCCACTTCATTATATTAGGTGTGTGTTAAAATATATTTAACATAAAATTTACCATTTTAACTATTTTTAATTATACAGTTCACTAGCCTTAAGTATATTCACATAGTGTGCACAGGAGGTTTTTAATTCTCGCCAGTTCGTATAGGAGCACTTCTGTCTTATTTACCTATGCATTTATCAAATGTTTATTTCACGTGACACAGCAAATTCAATCCCTTTTGAGACTCTGCATTTCTCGCATACTTATTACTCCAAAGTTTTTGTTGGCGAGCTTACTTAAGGGCATATCTTCCAGATTGGGCGAACTAACCGTAGACAAGCAAACTTGCTACGCCGTACACACCCATCCACCTACCTACTTAACAAAACTCAGTTTCCGTAATTTACATTCAACAGCAAAGTCCCGCGCGAAGGGTCTAGTGTCGCGAGAGGACTCTGAGCCAGGTAGGGGTGGGGCTTAACCTGAAGTAGATTCCCAGCACCCTTAGCGAATTTCTAACTCCCTAACTGCGCATGGCACGGCGCAGGCGCAATGGTCATTTCTTGACTTCCGCGCGCTTCAGTAGCTATAAATACGGATGCCGGGGGACCAGTCGGTCTTTTGGGAGAGGGCTAACGCTGCACTGTGGGCTTGTTTGGTGAGTGTTTCTACCCGGGTGGTTCGTCTGCACTTGATCTGCTATCCTGGGTCCGCCGACCAGACTTCCCGTGGGCGTCTTACAACTTGCAAGGATTCGCTTCAGCGGCGTCCTGCAAACTAACTTTCCCCTGCAATGGGGGTGGGCCGGATGTGGGCCGCCGAGGCCGCGCGAGCCGCGGGGCTGGGCCGTCCCCGAGGGCTGCTAGCGCGGGAACGCGGAGGCCTGCAGGGCTGCTACTGCGTGCCGACAGCTAAACGCTCAGCCCCCTTCTCGCTATTCCCTGTTGCGCCGTTTGTTAACCTTAGTCCTAGGAGGCGCGTTGGCCGCCTCAGTGCAGTGTCCGCAGGACATTCCTGACGCCCATGCGAGTTTCAGAGTTCTGATTTCGAAACGGACGGTTCTTGATGCTGCTGCCACTTGTTTTAACGATTTGGGGTAACCCCGACCCCAGATGGTCGGTTAAAAAATGCATGAGCTATAATTGCCGTCTCAACGGTTCTGCATTTACCGTTTCTTTGGCAGCGTGCTAATGGCTTGTTGGGCTTTCTGGATATGTTTGGGGTACCTGGCTGAAAGTTAATTCAGATTACTGATGTGTGGCTGCTGGTTGGCCTTGAACTTGACTTTCGTTGACACTTCGGGAGTTTAGGATCCATCTCTACATGGATGTCCCTGGGAAGTCGCTATCAGCTGGATGAAATTAATTCCTAGCACGGTAGTCTAAGTAAAATGTTGTAACCAACGTGGATACCCCGGGAGGTCACTCTCCCCGGGCTCTGTCCAGGTGGCGTAGGGGAGCATAGGGCTCCGCCCCGTGATGTACAGTCCTTTTCCACAACGTTGGAGATGAAGCCGGGCCTTGAGTCTGCGCCTGCATATTCCTACAGCTTCTCAGAGTCCTGTGGACCATGACTGAGGAGACAAACCATGCAGGAAACAGCTCTAGAGCACCGCACCTGGATCTAAGTAGATCCGGAGTGAAAGAAAAATTTGCTTTGATCGGTTCTACGGTACTGCTGGATTAAGCTTTTACCTACCTTGTTTTGCAGTGTTTGCTCAAGATTCCAAATGATTTGAGGTGAGTAAAACTACGGGTTGCTTTTGGCTCATCAGTGTTTGCCTGTCAGTATTTTGCGTAAAACATTTAACCATTCTGAGTTTAGTTCCTTTCGCGAACATGATGCTACTGTTCGATACATTGTTACATCTTTAATTCTCGTGTGATGAGGAAGATTTCTACTTTGCAAATGAAAAAACTGACCGTTTCGGTGTCATAGCCAAGGTCAGGTAGCACAACTTGCGCATGAGCCATATAACGTGTGTCTCCTCCATGTGTGTAAAGAAGGTAAGAGTTCAGTATCATGGACAATCCTTTCCACCATAGAGGAGATCAAGTTGCGCATATGCATATTCCTACAATGAATAACGGGTTCAGTAGATGAACCATGAAATAGTCTCAGATCTACATGTGTAGTATGGGATGAAATCTCTTAAATGTTTTGAGGGGTAATAATGCTGTTTAATCAGGCGTTCCAACGTGGATACCCCGGGAGGTCACTCTCCCCGGGCTCTGTCCAGGTGGCGTAGGGGAGCATAGGGCTCCGCCCCGTGATGTACAGTCCTTTTCCACAACGTTGGAGATGAAGCCGGGCCTTGAGTCTGCGCCTGCATATTCCTACAGCTTCTCAGAGTCCTGTGGACCATGACTGAGGAGACAAACCATGCAGGAAACATCTACTATACAATTTGCAGTTTAAGTAAGATGGTAAATATGAGTCTAATCCTCTTTTTTTTTTTTTTTTTTCCATTTTCATTCAGGAGAGAAGAACCTCACCACCAAACTTTGGCAGAGAGACTTGGTAAAGTGATTAATATACTATTTTTGGAAGATAAGGTGGACAATATGAAAATCTTATAATCTTGGATGCATTTGACTCCTTTTAAAAACTGCCCTTTAGATTAAATCAAAGGGGAACGGGAGGTTAAAAGTGCAAATTCTAATGTGTAGCCCTAAAACCAAACCTTCAGAACTGGTAGAGTAATAGTATGTTCCATTGGCCAGGTGCCCACAAAAATTTATGAAGAGTTCCAGAAGACACTGAGTATGGGCAGATCTGTTATGACTATGGTCCTTTGGCCTAGGAGGCCCAGAGACCATAAGACCCATTCAGAATGCCTGTGAGTTGAAAACTTACCATAATGACACTAAGATACTACATCGCCTTTTTTACCCTTCTCTAGTAAACTGGATTTTCTAACTATTAAACCTGAACAGAAAGCAGAACTTAGATGCCTTTCATTTAAGAAATCCATATCCGTTTGTAATGTTTTTATAAACTATAATAAAGATGATTATGCATATTTGTGTGCTTCGTTTTTATGTGGAAATGTGATCGCTGGCAGCTAAAAAGCATTCTATGGCTGGAATTGCTTGTTAGAAAAAATACTACAGTTGATGCCTGATTGGTTCTCTTTAGCTTAGTATTGTCACTTGTTTAGTGTTGGGAAAATGCATATTCTGACTCACTGTTACATAGGGCCCATGTAATAGCTCCTTGGGTAAATCTCGTTTTCATTATAGTCAGATAGCTAGTTAAATTCAAATGTGGGAAATGGTTAAGGCACTGGTCTCTAATGAATTTAGGTGTGTTCTCAGATGATACCATAGGCCGCTGGACGTGGCTTTTGAATGATACATCCAAGTTCCTAATTGGACCAGTCTGTCTTCAGTTTCTCATAATGTAGTACAAGCAAATTGACGTTAACAACTACATGATTTGGTTCAAATGTTAAGACACAGCTGTTAATACTAAAGCCTCTGCGATCTGTAAGTGGTACACCTGGGCCTGAAGATTTGTCAGGCTACCTGTGAATGATGTATGAGTCACAATGGAACCCTTGTCAAGCCCATGTACAAGCTGCCAGCATTAGAGGGAAACGAGGCCCTGAAGGATGGGGACTAGTAGGGAACCACCTAGAAGGTAAGAGTGGTTTCTGAGTTGGGCTATGAGTGAATTTCACAAGATAGGGTGAGTAAACTCCTGAAGCCATTGGAGCCGGGTTTAAGGGAATGGGGGGTTATTGGATCATGGCCCAAACTGCCATGGGGGATGGCCAGGTGGACAGTCTGAAAGGCAGTATTCAGGGCAAGAGGATAAGGGTGCTGAGAACTAGTGAGTACGGAACAGCCATGATTACGGACAATAACTCTGGAAGATGTTGGGTGTTTTGACAGGAGTACAGTGAGGCCTAAGGTCATCTGCCTGAACTGGTAGCAACACTTGTAATGCTTATCTGTGCCAGGCACTGCTCTAAGCATTTGTCGTGTTAATCTCCGCAATTTGGGTACCTATTAATCTAATCCACTTTCAAGTGGGAAAATCCAGGAACAGAAAGGCTAGATAATTGCCCACATCCGTAAGGCTAGATAATTGCCCACATCCGTAACTAGGAAGCGGAGCCTCTACAAATGCATCAAACCCCTGCAGACTTGGCGGAGGGAGCCGGATGCAAGGCAGGATCCTGTTTCTCTCCCCAGGACCACCTCTGTCCAGCTCTCATTTTGGTATTATTACCAAGTACTGTCTTGGTAGAGAAGATGCTCAGTAAAATGAATAGTGTTTTTTCCTTACAGCCAGAGGATTTATAGGGTTTTTGGTATAAATTATCAGGTAGAGCTGGGTAGCTGATGCTGGGCAGGAAATATTTCTCATGGTGTCCAACTGTAGCTAAAGCAAAGATGTCAGGCTGTATTCTAGGTCCCGCTGTGTTTTCCTCAAGCTTCAGCTTGCCACTTAACCTCCCTGTAGACCTCCAGACTATTCTGGTCTTTTTCTGCATATCGACAGTCTTTGTTAAGTCAGAGTCAAGACTGCCTGGGTTTGAATTCTGATAAAACCACTTGCTGTTCATGTGACCTTGTGCAAGCCACTTAACCTCTGCCTCAATTTCTTCATCCCTAGAATGGGGATGATGGGATGATAAAAGTACCTACATCTTGGGGTTCTAGTAAGAATTAAGTGAGTTAATATTTGTAAAAAGCTGCTTACAGTCTCAATGAGTACAATGAGTTTAAAATTCTCTAACTTCCCACGCAAACAGCTAGGGATATAGTATCGAGTATTACTGAATAAAGTCTACCACCATTTGTCCACTACTAAACCAGGCTTATCTCACTGAGAGCCACCCCCTGCCTTTCCAAGAGAGAAAAGGAAAGATTTCAGGGGTTAGTAGCTTGCCCAAGATCACCTAATTAGTAAGTAACAGTATTTGAATCTAACTCCAAGACCATGTGATACACTATTAGCCTTGAAGAAGGCTGTGGGGTGGAGTCTGCATACGTTATTTCATCTAATATCCCATGCACCTTTGTAAAGTAGGCAGTCTCTTTGTGCCCATTTTGCAGATGAGGAAATTGAAGTTGGAGGATTTGAGGAACTTGCCCACGTTACACAGCCAGTAATTGATAGAGCGTGAGTCTGAGCAAGGCATTGACTATAGAACCTGTGCTCGCATGTCGCACCTCGAAAAATATTTCCGCCTAGTTTAAACCGCAGAACTCTTGTTTTAAGCTAATGGAGTAACCACTGCACTGTAAGAACTCAGTCTCAGTTGTAATGAATTATAAACCTGCTATGTGCATAGCTTTACTTGACTCTGGAAAATGTCTAAGTGGAGATGAGTATAGTCCTAGGGAGCGAGAGCCCTTCCCTGGCCATGCCTCCCTCTTTCCCCCTTTTCTTTGTGCATGTCTTTCCCTCAGATGGATGGAACCCACATCTTTATGCTAGTACTTGATATTTGGTGAGGATTTGCCATGTGCTTGGCATTCGTTAATCCTTACAACAGCCCTATGGAGTGCAAGGACTTGTATTAAATCCTTATAATAGAGGAGGAAGACAATCAAGGTTAGATTATTTGCCGAAGGTCACACAGTGGGAATTGAAGGTCTGTGTCTCTAGACCCTGAACTCGCAACCTCCATCCTCACTTCCCATTCCCCTAAGTATATAGCATGGCTTCTCTCCCAGGCAGGACCAGCACCTTGAGCATTCCATCATGATAATTAGCATTCTGATGTGATTATTTTTCAGGTGATAGTCATCTAACCTACTAGTTGGGGAATCCTCAAGGAATAGGACCCTATGTGTAAACTCAGTACCTAGTACTATGCCTGATACATAGCAAACACTGGTTGACGACTCCATTTTTCTGTGTTCTAATTCCTTGATTTCTGCTTTGATCTTTATTATTTATTTCTTCTGTTTACTTTGAGTTTAGTTCCTCTTTTCCTAGTTTCCCAAAACAGAAGCTGAGGTCATTGATTTGAGACCTTTCTTTTTTTCTAATATAGGCGTTTAGTGGAATAGGTTCCTTTTTGATTTCATCTTTGACCTGTGGGCTACTTAAAAAGTGTTCGTTTTTAAATGTTTAGGAGTTTTCCAAAGGTCTTTCTGTCATTGGTATCTACTTTAATTCCACTGTGGTCAAAGAATATACTTTGTGTGACTTGAATCCTTTTAAATTTACTGAGACTCGTTCTGTGACCTGGAATATGGTCTGTTTTGGTAAATGTTTCACGCGCACTCGAAAAGAATGTGTGTTGTACTGTTATTTGAAAAAAGAAAAGTGAAGTGTTCTATAAAATGTCAGTTAGTTCTAATTGATTGAAAGTGTTCAAGTCTACTGTATCCTTGCTGGTTTTCTGCCTACATGTTCTCTCAGTTATTGAGAATGGGGTATTGAAATCTCCAGCTGTAGTTGTGGATTTGTCTATTTCTCCTACAAGTTCATCAGTTTTTGCTTCATGTATTTTGAAGTTCTGTTATTAGTTGCGTATATGTTTAGGATTCTGCATTTTGATTGACTCCTTTATCATTACCTTTTTTATCTCAATAATATTATTTGCTGTGAAATCTACTGTCTCCTATTAATAATAGCCACTCCAGCTTTCTTTTACTGGTGTTACCACAGTATGCCTTTTCCCTCCCTTTACTTTTAACTTATTTGTATATTTATATAAAGTGCACTTCTTGCAGGCAGTGTATAGTTGTGTTGTTTTTTTAAATTTATTATGACAATCTCTGCCTTTTAATTGGAGTGTTTAGATCTTGTTTGCTTTTATATGATTAATTTGCTTAGTTTTGAGTCTTCTCATTTTGATATATGTTTTCTGTTTGTCTCATCTATTCTGTGTTCCTTTTGTCCTCTTTTTCTGCCTTTTTTTAAAAAATTGAGTATCTTTTTCTGATTCCATCTTATCTTTGTTGGCTTACTAGCCATAACTTTGTTTTATTTTGTGGTTGCTTTAGAATTTGGTACATATCTTTAACTTAGCAGAGTTTACCTTTGATTGATACTGTATCACTTCACTTACTGTGGTACAGAAATCTTACATTTCTCACCCCAGTCTTTGTTATTGTATTTTATTTCTATATGTGTTACAAAACCCATAATACATTATTTTTATTTAAACACGCAATTAGAAAAAATCTTTTTTTTTTTTTTACCAAGGAAGATTAGCCCTGAGCTAACATCTGTGCCCATCTTCCTCTACTTTCTGTGTGGGACGCCTACCACAGCATGGCTTGCCAAGCGGTGCCATGTCCGCACCTGGGATCCGAACTGGGAACCCTGGGCCGCCAAAGCGGAACGTGCGCTTAGCTGGCTGAGCCACCGGGCCAGCCCCAAAAAATCTTTCATAGTTATTCATGCAGTTAAATTTCCAGTGCTTTTCATTCCTTTGTGTAGATCCAAATTCTCATCTGGTATCACTTTTCTCTGCCCAAAAATCTTCCTTTAACATTTCTTTTACTATGGGTCTGCTGGTGATTTTTGTGTCTGTGTGTGTGATTAATTCT